TATATATATTACAGTGTAAGTAATAAAAGTGTCCTGATAAGAACAATATAAACACATATAAATGTAAATATAAACACGTGTAATGACAGAATGATCAGGAGAAATTAAAAACCATCTTTAAACAGTAAAATGTTCAGATTTGTTGTTGTTGACACATTTTATTTTGGTAAGTCAGTCTCCTTCCTGCTACAGTTGTGCGGGTTTGACGGCAGCTTGACGCAGCTGCTGGAGTTCGGAACCACAGCGCCAGAATCCCCACAATGCACTGCGGTACATCAACAACAGTCCCCACAGCTCCCAGTTCTCCCAGTTCTCCCAGTCCGTCCAGTCCGTCCAGCTGAACCAGCGCATAGCGGCTGATTCCCCTCAGAGCTCCGTCGCTGTTAATTAACTGATTAATTAATGGAGCTGCTGCAGGCTGCGCAGCAGGACGGTGCCTTCAGGGACCGCAGGAAACGACAATTACAGAAGAAAACACGTTTAAACCTGTTGGTCCTGGAGGCTGTTCTGTGATGCGGCCTGAAGGGGGCGTCCTGCTGATGTCTAACATCCCAGACTGAACACTTCATGATCACACTGACCGGATCGGTTCTGCTGCTGGATCCAGACGCCGTCATCCTGCGGGTTCTGTCATTTCTGGATCTCTCGTGTCACATGTTGTTGTTTCGTCTTGTAGGGACAGTTTGCTGTCTCGGTTCCGTGTCGTCTCTCTGGTGGTTCTGCTTCACTGTTTGTTCACAAGATGCTTCAGCGTGACATCCAGGCTGCTTTGGTTCGGCCGAGCTTCAAGACGAGCTACAGCAGATTCAGTCCAAACCCGTCTCTCCACAAGAACCAGACCAACACTTCGAGTTGGAGTTTCTTTCGTCCACTTTGCTCCTCTATGGTCTGAAACACAAAGTGCCGAGCTGACCTGAATGCAGCATTAAAATGGTAAAATCCGAGCCTGTGGCGTGTCCGTGAAGGCGTCAGAAGGCGTGAGCAGTTTTCAGGAGGAAGATTCACGAGCCTCAGTTTGTTGTTCATCTGGAACGTTTCCTCACAAACTCCTTGAATCACCTGGAATCACCTGGAGACGCCTGGAATCACTTGGAGACTCCTCGAGCTGCTTCTCACCGGCACCAGCGGACATGACGGTTTAACGAGGATCTACCGGCAGCGGGTCCGTATTCACCGGTAAAGTGTAAGTCCAGGTTTGGTTAGTCTGGTTCCCGTGACCGTGCAGTGTGAACAAAGGTTTAGTTAATCTGGTTAATGTGACCGTGCAGTGTGAACAAAGGTTTAGTTAATCTGGTTCCCGTGAACCTAAACTCGGTTGAAGCTGAAGGGAAACTGGCGAACAAAGAACCAGCTGAAGCTCAGCTGCTCACTGTTAGATTCTGATCAGTGGAAAGTGAAACCTGCTGAAGCCTCAAACCCGATAGATTATCGATTTATTCATAATCAATAATCAGAGCTGGAGTCTGTCTAAAATCAGCTTTAATCAGGATCAAATGATCAGAAGCTTCTTCGATCACTTCCGCTCCGGTTTGTCCTGAAAAGACGAAAACGTGAAACTGCAGAAGAGGCTTAAGGCTTGTTTATCACTGTTTGTTGTTTATCACTGTTTGTTGTTTATCACTGTTTGTTGTTTGTTGTGAGTGTTTGTTGTTTGTTGTGAGTGTTTGTTGTTTGTTGTGAGTCTGTCTCCATCTGAACAAACTCGTCACGACTTGTTTTCGTCTGCGTTTATTTTTACATCAGATTCTTGTTTCTGGGCAGAAGCAGCAGCTGCCCCGAGCTGGAAATAGATAAAAGCCCCAGAGAGGCTACCTGGGGGTAACAGTGACTGGCCGGTTACAAAATGCCCCCGTAGAGGGTAACTGTGACTAACTGCCCCCATGGAGGATAA